TTCTCGAATGTTAACGAGATTTGATTGACAACTCTATGCAGTTGATGTATTATGGAGTGTTTAGATTTGAAGCCCAATTTAAAGTTAGGGATAATTTTATCTGCAACTGCGATTTTTGAAATTCTTTTCAGGAGAAGTTTTTCGTATAATTTGCATACAACAAAGAGTAGGCTTATAGGTCGCTAAGAGGATGGCCTTTCGGGAGGTTTACCTGGTTTATTATGAGTATTATCTTTGCATGTTTCCAAGCAGATGGCATGTAAGAAAGTCGGAGAATGGAATTACTTGTAATTGCTACTTATAACTTATTACTTATAAGTAAAAGTAATATTATGTATTTATATATTTACTTATATAATTTTATAAATATTATTACATTATATCTATAAATCTATTTATAACTATTATGTATATTAATATTTTAATAAGTGATTGATTTAAATAAAATTAACAAAAGCTTGCATAATTGTAAGGAAAATTTATTATTAATATTGCGTTTACAAAAAATATTCAGTATTTTGTGAGTTTTTTTATAAATTAAAATACTTAAGATCGTATTTTAAAGTTAGCTCCAATCGCAATATTTGGTTGCTACGGCTCTGGCCAGACCTAACGTAAAACTTACATTATCGGGTTATCGGTTATTGGAACCCAATTAAATTAACCCGATTAATAGAACAGCAATGATGGATGTTTGTATTATATAAGCAAACATTTTATTTTTTGTTTGTTCTTTTGTAAAAATGGTTCTTTTCACAGAAATAAAACAATAATAATAACTATAATAAAAAGTATATAAATACATAATAAGTACATAAAAAAGTCCAGTCTTTACTCCAAAAAAAAAATCCTATTTTACCCCTTGGTGGTTGATTATTATAAAATATTAGTAATTACTAGTGATGGGATTAATCGAATGATTAGTAATCGAAAAAAATAATCGATTAATCGAATGATTAGTAGTCGAAAACAAAATAATCGAATGATCAGTAAACGAAATCAAAATAATCGAATGATTTATGATTTAACTGCTTGAACTGGTTGTATAGATAATCATTTAATTATCTATAAGCATGAAAATAAAATGCATTTTCAATCCAAATATTTATACGTATTAAACCTATTAGTCTGGCGATTACCGATACCGGGAATTATACCAATGATTAAAAATAAAATAAATAATAATACAATACTGACAGTCGACTTCTTATAAGAAAAATTCTTATACTTCTTATAATTTAGTACCCAATGGCAATGAGTAAAATACGCAATTTTTTTGAATAATTCAATTAATTTGCGTTTGATAAATATGTCTGGTACTATTATTTGGATTATTAAAATCATTCGATTATATTGATGATCCAAAAGTAATAATTGAATGATTCGATTATTCCATTCGATTAATCCCATCACTAATAATTACCCCAGGTTAGGAACCGCTGATATGTATACATTTTGCTTTGTACAGAACATTTGTAAAAACATAATTTTAACGTAGGTATAAGATCACGGAATTCACAACCACCTGGTGTGTTGGGTATACTATAGTATACACAAGTTGTAACCCAAATAAAAACATATAAGTACGTAACACAATACCAGATGTATCCACCGCACAACATGCATTCACCACCACAGTGCTCTCTGTTAGGATATATGTACGTAAATGTATAGTTATGTACCATCCTCTATTTTTCATAAAAAAATCATACTATACATTTTTTAAGGTACAATTATATGATACAGAGCCCCCTCTACTCCCTTTCACATGATTATAATTTTCAGAACAATGTAAGTAATAGTTTTTAATTTTTTTTTCTATTAATCAAATTGTACATTATAATTATATAACTACCAATCTGTTATTATTATTTAAACTGAAAATATACTTTTGTCTGGTAAAAATCTAAAAACTATTTACAAATGTATTTTAATGTAGAGTATAAAACTTAAAATATAAAAGATATATTTAATTCCTCACAGCTATCTTGCTTAAACTGGCTTTCTGAAAAACACCTTCATAGTAGTGTTATTGGCTGCATCCGAATTAGGTCCCGAATTATTTTAGATAGGTACCCAACTAGTACACTACCTGCAATTAGCCCCTAGTACTCGGAACCCAACTCGGATTCTCCGGTCTTATTTAGTAGTATTTAATAGGTACACACTTTTCGATTCCGTAATGCACACTTCCAGTTTCAGACATCAAACGTTGTGTCGGGGCTTACTAAAAAATAGAGACTGTCGTGTACAAATATTACATATGTTCTACTGATGGCTCCGCATGAATAAAATTATTTTGTGAATCCGTAGTTCTACATGCACCGTATCTCCACACGGTCGAAAAAAATTTAACTCACCGCAGCTCCGTATTCTAAAAATATTTTTAACGCCAAAAGTCCGCATGACATATCGCATTGAAATATCTGATACACTGGAGCTCCACATTTATCAATTAACTTTTATACGAAACTTCAATTTTTAAAATTTTAAGACTTCATCTCGTTATACCTGCCGGCTCTTCTCCCTCGAAATTTCCAATATTGTTGTGACTCTCGTTCGTTCGGCGGTGACTGGTGATGTAATTACACAATTATGCATGTTTGTACAATATTTTTCATAGTCTTTTTAAATTAAGAATTCGATTTATCGTGAACGCAAATGCTTAATTAGGTCATGAGACTTTCAAACCAAGGTTTGATCTTCGGCTATTTTCGATAAGAAAATAAACCCAATTACACCCTCCTAATTTTAAGTTTTACGCCATCAATTTTTATTCATAAACAAACCATATATAAGAATACTAGTGTATGTACACGTGATTTGGTTTTATTATAAATAATAATCTCATAAGTTATGTTGAACTATAAGTGTATATTCTATTATTATTAGCAAAACATATTTTGGTGTCAAGAACAATCATACAAAATATTTAAAAAATTAAAATGACATTTTATAGTACATTACATGCATTACATAATTCAATAATTGTATACATTATGAAGTAATCAGTGAACATAATTTGTAATATTCGTTTATAAAACTTGTTACACATATCAAAAACAAGTTCACGTAAAATTGATAGCAATAATTTATATATTTTTGGATAAAAATACCAACTACAAAATAAAGAACAACATATTCACATTATAGATACACTTTTATATCTCATGTATAGTATTTATCCACGATTCACAAATGAAGTTAAAATTCAAAAAATATGGCGCAATGAAAAAACTGGGGGTGCTGAAGCCCTTCTATCTTTTTCACCTTCCTTAATGGTTATAGACACCCGCAACCCGTACAATTCAACAGTTACTAAAATATTTGGAAAATATGTGAATATTTCTAAATTTAAATTGTTCACTATGATTTTATATTTTTATTGCGCGTATAACGAATTACATTTCTGTAAACACAAATGTTTCATCGCATGATTACTAATAGATTCTGACTGAAGCGAAGGATATTATGGTTTTATAATGATGTTTGTATTTTATTTTTTTAACACTTTTTCGGATAGAAATACTGGTCCAAAAGCTTTTTCTAAGACCTTTGTTGGATTTTAAATTGGCATGGCATACTTTAGATAGGTAATTTTTTTAAACCTTAAGAGTTTTTCCTGGTGTAAAAAAAATTATGTATAAAAAAATGTATATATTTATGCAATAAAAACTCTGTTTTTCTATACATAATGAGTAATGAGTATTTAAATGTAAATTAACATAAACACATTTGAGGGTGCTAAGCACACCCAAGCCCCTCCCCTATTGCACCTATGGTTATTAGTTATTTAAATCAAATGTTATGGACTAAATAGAACAAAACAAAAAAAAACCATCTACGATTTTAGAAAATACTCAATGATACTTGCAAATAATCATATATGAGTCATAACTATTTTATTAAGTAAAAATAGCCACGCCACCTATGAATTACATTACCATTGTCATGAAAAGTGGCCGTAAATCTATATTAAAAAAATGGTACATATTATTGAATAAGATAAGAAATTTAATAGCTGATCAACATTTTGAGATGATTCTTTTATTGAGATTCAATAGGAATTATTATTAACCTGTCTATTGTATTGTTTTATTTGTTTAGATTTTAATAAAGTTAAATAATATTATATATTAATGTTTTGTATCTATTGTATTCATTTATTGCTTATATAATTTTATTGTTATACTTTCATCTGCAGTAATTATTTTTAGTTTTCATACTGTTATTGAACATTAAAAATAATACTTTTTTTAAATTATATTTATCGGATTTGATTTTTATGAAAAATGAATAAAAACAAACGATACATAAATTACCATAAATTTGAAATTTGAGTGCTTAAAAACAATCCAAATAAAGAAATGTATATTTTTCTTCTCTAATTAAAGTCTAATAAGTACTTCTGCATTTTCGTTATCGTTAATGTTAAATAAATTGTAAATTTTTATTATATATATCACTTATATCAGCACTTATTTAAATATTTTTTTTTGTAATTAACTTAATTTATTGATTGAAGTTAACGATATTTTTTAATTTCATTTTTAACTTAATTGATATAATTCTGTAATAATGTGCATTAACTTAACCGAGTTAAAAAATATCATTAACTTGCCCAGCCTTGAAAAATAATACAATTTTACATTATCGACTGTCGAGGTATATATAAACATGCATTCACAATCCAGAATAATCTAATCCCAATTTGGCAATAATTTTCAATCATTGTACGTATAATATAAGTATATAAATTGAGGGTTGACGCTGTAATCCGTGAGGTCGCGTCGTCATTACGTTTTGACGATTCATAATTACGTTGTACGCGACTAGTCGACAATCTGACAATATCACCTAGCCACGTGGTAGCGACGGGCTATTTTGTGAGTAAATAATGGTCGCGGAGAATGAATGTTATTGTTATGGCCTGAAATCGTCTTCTCGGCTATTATTATCACAGTCTGTGGAAGCCCCACAAACACGTGACTAGTACGGGTCGAGCAGGTGCGCGCGGGACTACCTGCCTCCATCGGCCGACGGGGTGCGTGTGCGAGCCACGACAATGTTGTAGTGCTGTCGTCGGGTCCGTACTCAGCAGTCTTGTCGTCGTCGTCGTCCCGATCCCACCAACAAACGATACCACCTGTTCGTGCATGTCTCCGGTTTTCCAAAGAATAATTGAAAAATAAAACACGTCAACTTACACGATCGACGACGACAACCCCGTGAACGTACACACAGCAGCCCGCGACTCCGTTCTTACCGAGCAACCTCTTCGTCGCGTTTCCACCGCAGCCGTAAAAAAGAAACCGCGTCCGACCGTCGTCCCGAGAACCCCACCAGAACGACGCACGTGACGGGAAGAAGTACGTGTGCGGCTCCGACCTTCTTTTCGTCGACGAATACCCGCGCAAGAAGACCGCTACCGCGTGAACACTACACTGCCGTTGGCAGCCTCCTCCAAAGTTTCGAACTGTACGCACATTTCGTCACCCTCAGATCGCTGGTCTCGACATTACCATGGTAATAAGTGACACGGGTTTTTTGTGCGAATCCCTATTCCTATTACTGTTGGTGCAATAGATTTCCGTTGCTCGATCCCTCGCGTGACTCGCACACGACGTCGCTATCGGAAAACCGCAAAATCTATTGTTTTTTTAGATTTCCCGTCGGAAACTAAACGTGTTGGCTCAAATTATTATTTCGTTTACTCGTCCGCGGTTTTCCTCCAAATTTATAATATCGTGTGAGTTTCTATGCAAATGACGCGTTACCAAACGACCAAATGTGTTACCACTCTGTTGTATTTCTCTTTCAATCGTGGCCATTTTTTTTTTCGTAAGACTAAGAGTTAAAACGTCTTTCGGTGCTGTTTGCGAACATTTACATTATGGTAAAAGTCATCTTTTGATTGTCATAAATGTCGTATTTTTTTACTTTTTATGTGTTTTTACCCAAACATATTGTTTCTTACAATGTCAAATATATTCACATTCAAATTTATTTCAGGCCCTAAACCATAAAAAATCTTCCGGTAAATGGTGGGAAACTGAGTATAGTGGTAACATCCATTCGTATTTACAGTATCGTGAAGCAGAATGTAGAATGGAATATGGAGGTAGATCGCCACAGGTATATATTATTTTATTAATTTATTTCCGTGTTTATTCTTATAGGTACATATTGTATCCTTCATTGTTTATTAGATTCATATGCGTCCCGTGTTGTTAAAAACAATTCGAAATATATCAAAGACATGGGAAATGTCAAATGTCAGTGTTCATCTAGCCATAACTTTATTAGATTTCTTTATGGATAATCATGATTTAAAATTTGATACAGCTATGCTAGTCTCATTTGCATGCTTAACATTGGCAGGTAAGTGTTATTGTTATTGTTTTAATTTGTTATTTACACCTAAACAATTTTATTTTATTGTAGCCAAAATTGAAGAACATAGCTTAAATATACCGAAGTTAAAAAGTATGCGTAATGTCATTAGTAAAGATGTTACAAATTCACACTTCCGTTATGTAGAAATGAAAATTTTGATGTTCTTTAACTTCAATGTTGCAATACCTACAGTTGCACATTTTATTGAATTTTATAAAGAACATTTTTACTGTGATCAAGACTTTTATCATCCCGAGTTAAAAGATATTTTAAAAGATAAATTTGATAAAATTATACTTTTTTACCAGGATAAATCACTAGAAAGTTAGTATTAATTTATTTATTTATAGGCATTTATGTTCAAAAGATTCTTATTATGTTGAATAAGCAATAGATTAAGTTAAAAGGAATCTAGAAATTGAAGATTTAGGATTAAAAAATATAACAGGAGTTCATAGTATGACTTGTAAATTTAAGATATTAATATTTGATGTATCAAGAATTTATTGTAAACACAAATACATTAGTTAGGATTTATATTTTTATTTTAAATGCAATATTTTTTCCAATCATTGTAATCATTGTGATCAATGTTAAATTTCAGCTCTTTTAAAAATAACCTACATGGTATATTATCTTTATTTTATCTGTGTGGAATGTGTTTAAGTTCTATAATCTATTGCTTTTATTTTATACTTAACAAAATTCTTATCATAAATTGATCATTAACAGGATAGTATAGTTGTTAAATTTTATCTGTGGGTAATCGGATTATTTCTTATTTTATATTTGTATGGTTTAATTGAACTGTATTTCACAAACATTTTATCTATTAAATGTACCATAAAAGTTAATTTTTAGTATTTAGCATTCTTCTAATTTTGCATCATGTATTATGTATATTATAAAAACAAAAAATATCTTGCTTGCATACAGGGCTGTCCCGAAGATGAAAATCAAGGGGGGTGAATAATATGAAAGATGCCGACTACAATTTTTTTACTCAATGTATGTAGTATAATTAACTATATTTAGTCGTATTTTTACTTCATAACAAGGATATATGTGTCATTATCACACGTTCTTAAAATTGACAATTTAATTTTATATGTATAATAATATTTTATATTGTATAATAAGTAGTTTAAATTTTATTTGTGTATACACTGTATTACGAAATATGTAATATTTGTTTTCCATAAGTAAAATTAGGTCCTTCTAGGCTATAATTAAACAATTCCAACTGCCGACTGTTGTTTTTGTTGGGGGGGGGGGGGGTGATAAAACCCCCAAGACTCCCTTTGGCCCTGTTTGCATACTATGTTCAAATAGGGGATCAGAGTTATTGATAATTGCTACCTGGATAGACCCTATTATATAACATTATGTAGAATAAAAGAACAATCGTAATTTATTTATTTTTAATCTTTATTAAGTTACCTTTATTGTAATATAAAATATTAGTGTTTAAGTTGATTTTTGGTCCTTTTTTTAAAAAAAATTCATTAATTTATATATGTATCCGAAAAGTTCCTTTTATTTTATTAGATTTATGGTAAAATATTAAATCATAGTGGCTCTTTGTATATTAATCAAAATTATTATAGCAAGTATAATCATAATTTTAATGATAAAATTGATAACCTATACATATTTTCATTAGTTTATTTTGATTTAATAGAATTCAGATTTTTATTATGATGCAATTTTCAAACTTGTTAAAAGATTTTTAAACTATTTATTTGTATATACACATACACTCAATTAAATGTAATATCATATTTTTTGTTTTAGGTACAAAATTAATATCATATAATTCATCAATGGTTGCAGCAAGTATTATTTTAACCACCAGGCATACATTAGGATTGTCACCTTGTTGGACTGTAAAACTACGCAAAGTATCAGGATATTTAAAAAAAGATCTCGTTCAATGTTGTTCATTATTAGGGTATTTTTTTTAATTATTTTTTATTTTATTATAATGTTGATTGGACGTGTGTTGTGTTGAATTTGTTTTAACATATTGCACTTAATTTATAAATTTAAGTTAATTTTAACTAGACACCCATTTTATCATATAAATGATTTTTAATTTTAATTTATATTTCTTTAGTTTTATTTAAAAAATTGTATTCTGTTTTTATTTTGAGTTTTATTTTGGTTTTGTTAAATTGAGTTTTTTTAATTAAAATTTAATTTAAATATAAAGTAAATTTGAGATTTTTTTTAATTCAATAAATGGTTTAAAAGTTTTAGTGTATTATCTTGTAATTTTCTGCCCAATTTTTTTTTTTTATTATTCACATTAATTAATCTATCAGAATTGTTATGTTTAAAATATATGTTCTATATTATTAAAATATTAAGAAAAAAAAATTAATTCTGTAACTGTATATGGTAGTATTCATAGTTTTTAATTGATTCATTTTTTTTACAGAAGAAATGTAATGCAGCGCAGGAAATATGTTCAAGTAGATGAAGGATATTTTAGTTCTTCACCAGGTTATCATTCGCCAATTATTTTGGGAACTAAAAAGAAAAGGAGTCATCTTGACGTGCCTAGCATAATTTTATCTAAACGAATAGCATACTAACACCCTTCAACTGTGATAAGTTATACAACAATAATTCCTGTTGTTAAATTCCTCAAAATGGTATATAAGTTTTTTTCTGTGAAGAATAAATATATTGTGATATTAATTCTTAAGAGCTCACTCATGAGACTGAATATCGTTGTTTTATTTGGTAGTCAAAATTTTTTTCTGTTATAAAATAATTTTTATTTTTGTGTTCATGTAGATAAAACTAGTTAAAATGTATTTTATAAATCCGTGTATATGTAATTCTTTTGAATCAAATTGAAAGGTTAGAAAATAATTGTTAAATACAATTATGTTTACGTAAATGATTTTTTTTTTTATATAATTCGTTGATGTATTATTTATTGTTAATCAAAATAATAGTTTTGTATAATTGATAAAAGAATTATTTTGTTCAATTAAGATTTTAGAATTTGTATTGTCTAGTTATCCCTGAGATATCAGCTCTTGATGGTTACTTTGCTTTTTATCAATATTTAACAGAAAACTCAGTGCCGGCGCTAAGGGAGAACAAATGAGACATTTGTCCAGGGCTCTGTGATTTTTAATTATCATAATACCGTGAGACCCATTGACATTTTATATCAATAAATTATAAATCTATATGATGCCTAACATTAGTTATTTGGAAAATGATGTCTAAATTTAGCCATAGTACAATTTACAAAGTAAATCATTATCGATAGGACGAAAGCATAATATTTTGACGATACCCGTTGAGTAGGATTCCTACAGTAAATAATATAATTATTTATTTTCTCTATAGTTATTTAAAATTTGAAGAAAAACCGAATTTTTTGGAAAAATCATGATTTAAAAAAAAAATAGAATTTTGCCCCTCTGGGAATCTAAAGGCTAATACCCATGTCTAGGGCTTCGCATTACCTATCGTCGGCACTGAGTAAACCCTGGACATCTGAGTATAATTTTGTATCAAATTACTGAAATATTGACAATATTATTTGTAGTTAGTGCTTTTATGTTAACCATAAATTTTATGAGGTATTAGTAACATTTATTGCATACATTTAACATATATCTTAAAATTATGTACCAAGAATATTTACAATAAGTCTTAATTTGATAGTAGATCAATTAACTGTGTGCTCCGTATCGATCTTAATGCTTTGCTAAAAGTGAATTCACTTTCATAAAATATTGAGGCCCTATAATGGTCATGGAGATAACAAGTCTCGAGTTTAATGCCATTTTGATAATTTAAGGTTTATCTATTAACCTATTACAAAGAATTCTATACAAGTTATTTCTTGTGAGTTGAGCAGTAGTTGATAAAGTTTTATCTATTTGTTTTAATAATCTTTAAATAAATATTCTTTAAATTGCATCCTATGACAAATACTATTTGAATTAAAAACTATAAAATATTTTTTTTTTTAACACTTTCTTTTTAAATTTAATGGTTATTCAACATTCTATTTTATTTTTATAATTAATACTGCTATAAAACTACATTGTATTTAGTAGTTTTAAGAAATAAAAAATGCTTTATAAACTACTTTTATGTTTTTGATAAATTGCAAAATTAATTTGATTGAAAAAATAAATTCTGATTAAACATAATATGCTTTGAATTTATAAAATACTTATTGAATTTTCTCGGTCAAAGATTTTATATAACAATTAAGTTTTTTTTTCATATTAAAAATATTAATACTTTCACAAAGTTTTAAATTGGTGAATATTATTCATACTATATTAAAAACTTTGCTACCCTATTAGATAATTTCCAGTGAAATCTTTGCCTATAATGTTACCAATATAATTTTATTGTACATACACTTATACAAAACCAATTTTTGTGTCATAAAATTGTACAACTATCATTTTACAAATAATTTATTAATTCAAATACATCAGTTCTTACATTTTCTGCTATTGCCCTATTTTTTCCAAGTACCCGGTTGAGAAACACTGATTTAAGAGATTAAATAATTTACTGGTTTTGAATACTTACAAAAAATTCTCTATCAAATATTTTTCAAAATCTATAAGTATCAGTGACATATTTTTAAGTTTCTTGTAAGGAGGAAAATTTTATTTATTTAAATAGGAGTAAAATGTTTCTAAAAAAATAAGTGATTTTATAATATTATAAATTAAAATGAAGAGTAATTTACAAATACATGATACAAATTAATGTTCTCTTTTTCTCTACCTTTTTAGCAAGTCATTAATGATTTATGGGAAAGGACATCTGGGAACCCCCTGAATATATGCCACTGATAGAAATGTCATATATATTTTTTAGCCAATCAGCAATTTCTATAAGTTTAATAACTTATTTCAATAATCACTAATTTATAATAAAATAATTTAAATATAAAAATACTAACTAAATCCAACTATTTCCTAGTCTTATAATCAAAATACATTCCATTCCACCCACATTTTTTAACTTATGACTAAGATTTCAAGTTTATTTTATTATTTCAATAAACAGATTAATCGTAAATCATTCAACAGTTAATTTTAACAAACAAAATAATAACTGAAGTATTTTTATGAAATATTTTTTAAAAAATATATATATTATATACACTAATATACAATTTTTCAAACTATAAGTTACTATCTATAAATAAAAAATCATTTTAGACCTATATTACCAATAATGTGTACTCTTTTTTTCACAATAAACATAAATATTTATTTATTTTTGCTTGAACTCATTGCTTGAGCAGCATCAGCAAGTGTTGAAAGATTATCATGAGGTAATTCTACATTTGTATCTATAACTGGTTCTTCATTGTTTTGCTCTTTTTCTATTAACTCAGCAGCAGCCTGTAATGTTGCTAATCCTGGACTGTTTAATTCATTAATATCTGTTCTCATGTGGCGGTGTTCTGAACGCACTTCAAAAGTGTGTAATGGAAGCTGTTCAAGCCATAATTGCATACTAAAAGTAAAGATTTAAGGTACATTTACGTAATAAAACAGAAAAATGAATTATCTTATAATATCAAGTTTAAATTTTACTTATTTTTAATAAACTATTTTTTTTGTAACATAAAAATGAAAATCTATTTCACCTTTTCAATGAGTGTTTTTTCAAATCAGTTTCATAATTAAATAAAATATTATTTATTTGAATAAATAATTAACACTCAAAAACATGTCTTCATATAACAATAAAATTTTATTCTGATATTTAGGATATTGATTCGTACTTGAGTTTAAATGCCATAAATTAAAGTATTTATTTATAATGCTTTATTTTCTAACAACTAAATTTGATTTTTATAACATAATTGGAAATCGATTCGTTTTTTTTTTATGAAATTTGTGTAATATATATGTATACATATAAAATTTTTCATAAGTAAATATTGATATAATCAAGTTTTGGATTATGAAAATTGTTATACCAAAATAGAATTTTTCTTATAATTATTAAACAAATTTTTGTTTGATATAAGAAAAAAATGAAATAATTTTTTATTATATGTAATTTATATTTAATAGAATAATGAAATCTATTATATTTTTTTTGTCAAAGGATACGATCTTTCTTCTTTTTCTACTTTAATGATTGTAGGTAATATGTGTTTAGCTCTAAACTCAGAGACTTGTTCATTGAGTTCAACAAAATCTAAACGTTCATGCATGCCATCATTACCAAACTTTTCATTATATTTATCATAATGAACTTCTTCTAATACCAAGCCTAAACCTGGAGCAATAGGCAGATCAAGACGTTCTTGTTTCCAAGAACGTTCTATCACATCTATATTGGCTACACCTCGACAAATTGCAATAATCACACCAACCATTTTACGAATTTGATGAAGCATGAAACTTTGTCCTAAAACCAAATGAACATTATTAAAATTTATTCTAAAAAATTAATTAAATAAATATTACCTCTAACATATAAAGATATTAGCTCTATACCATCTTTTTCAAATGGTTTGTCACAATAAAAACTGACCATATATCTTTGTGCACTTGGATCACCAGGTTTTCTAAAGAACAAAATTTAATCAAAATTTATAGTTTACGATTTTTATAGTATCTCATATAAACTTTTTTAAACAATTATTTATTAATGAATTCTCAATTGTTTAAACTAACTTTTTAGAAGTATAATTATGATAATTGTGACATCCTAAGAAATTCTTAACAATTTCATTTATTTTATCAATAACAGTGGAATCAATACGATAACTAAAATCTATGGTAGCTTCTTGAGGAGCAAATGCAAATGTTGGACAAGTATATGAATATGTTCGTCCATCACAAGAATTTTTACTGTTGAAACCTTTAGTTGCTCTTCTAATATCTAGTACTCTAATTTGCTCAGGTAAAGCATTATTAACTACTTCTTTATTTACCTCTTCAGCTGTAAAAATCAATAAAATAAATTAACAGTTAAAATATCTTTAATTTAATGATTTAATTAATTTAAATATTTGAGATATATATATATATTAGGGCAAAGGAAAAAACTATCATAATAACCTTTATAATCAAATATTATAGATTTCTAATTTTGTTAATGTTTTAGAGTTCACAATTTTTATAATGACAATAGTAATTGTTTAGAATTAAAAATATTGATTTAATATAAAGACTATATAATACATAAAAATAAATAATTTAGTTAAAAATGAATATAAAATAGGATGATTTGCTATTGTTTAAACGTACGTAACAAAAGTGAAATTATCTGTCGCAAAGCAGAAACTCCTTTGTCAGTTCTAGCAGCCCGCTGAAAATGCATTGTTTGTATCTGTTCAAAACCTTCATCAGTAATTAAGTTATTAGCTTTTAACGCTTGTAATAGTTCTTCTTCTACTGTCTTTGTACCTTTATTTCTATAAGAAATATTGATGAATATTTTTGAAAAAAAAATTATTTGTTTACTATTGAATATTTACCTCTGTAAGCCTAGATATCCTTGACCAGAGTATGCCAATAATACAGCACATTTTTTTCTTTTAACTCTAGGTTCAATACACTGTTTTTTGGAAACAATACTCTCATCATCCTCAGACAATGGGTGCTTTTGAGTGATAATCGGATCTGACACCATTGTACGGGTTAAAACCAAAGTTGCTGCAAACAATGATCTACAGACTATCAAAATAAAAAATAAAGATTTTCGTTGTATGAAATAGTTATAAAATTCAAAATAATTTATATTGTATGCTACTTAATACCTAGTACGTACCTGAATTTGTGGGTAATACGGTTTTCAACAAATAACGAGTAGACAATACCATTTAGTGAAAATTTAATTCCAAAAAAAAACGTGTTTTAATGTGAAAATATTTTTAATTTTATTAATAATTTAAATAATAATCAACCAGTATTCCTCTAGGCTTCAAAACTAAATATTAGAAACAATTTCCTATTCACAACAAAATAAATTAACAAACACTACACCATTTAGGTAAACAGTAGAATTAAATAAATGTGTGTGAAATAAGAAATGATATTTAATTTATCTTAGCTACCAGGTAAGTGGTAACATAATGTATAATTCCAGTTTACTTCGCTTTCTCGATCGAAGATCAGAAAAAAAAAAGTTTTTTTTTTTTCTAAACCAAATTATCTGCATATTGGATGTTATTGTGCTTTATTTCTAATAATTAATCATTATTCTAAGTATCACAGCATAATTACTCACATATAAAGTAGTCATAATGCTTAAAATTGTGTACATTAAACTACGTTACCTACCGGGAAATAATTTTTAAAAATTTTTTTTGAAAAACCTATAAATTTCTTCCTTCTTTTTTAGAATGTAGTTTGTTAATAATAGCATAATAAGTATTAATCTTATTATAATATATTATTACTTATTATAATAAAAAATAAAGTAAAAATCTCGAATTTCAAAATGTATTTTTCCCTCTCTTTTTTTCATTTGATAATAATTTTCTTTTCTTTGTGTATTTTTATGTTTTGTATTTCGATTATTAATATAATATATATATATTAAACTCATAAGCGTGCTCATGGGATAGTCTGGGTCAGGGCCAGTGAAAGCTATGGGCAACCTGGGCGATTGCCCGGAGTGCCAGCACGAAAGGGGCGCCAAACTGAAAATTTTTTTCATCTAATTTATCTTTTAATACGCATTAACGATCTACAGGAAGTAAGAACATGACAGTTGTGCTTTATACTTCATATAGGTATTGCATCCATAAAGCGCTGGTTTTGATGTAAAAATAATACATGAAAACATATCACCGCATTTGTCTATGTAAATAAATAGATGGTCTTACCTAATATTTATTTTCATAAAATATTTACCCCTATATAAATAAATTCATATAACTAGACGATTACGTAAAAAACGTGGCGGTAAAACCGTTTGGACCTTATGGCGAAAATACCGTGGTGTGTGGCGTAAATCAAAAAGACACAGTTGTCCGACACACTCGCACGATTTATTGTTTTCGACGAGCTCTCGCTACGTACGATATGCTGTGTAATGTCATACGTTTAAACTAATAAGTTACAGTTAACAAGTAATAACCAGCGACATAATATAGGGCGAGTACCCACAGGGAAAATCCCTTTTTCACTATGGGCCTATCGACCCCTGGTTATACAACATTGTTAATTAGGAAATATCAATTATTTTAAAATGGATCAATCGAAAAAAATGGTTAGAAAGTTAGAAAAAATTTAAAAAACACATTATACAAGAATTATTTTATACCTAATTGACGAAATTAATATTAAGTCATGCTACCAATTTGCAATTATAAGAAATATAGAAATACATCCGTTTTAAATAGAAATAAATAGAAAAAATATATTTAATACTTATATATTATCTCATTGTACCTATCTTTACAATATTTGAATATTACAGTACAATTACAATATAAAATAACATGAACAGCACAATAAATTGATCTAATAATTTCTAACATCTAAATGCTAACTAAAAATAATTACAATTATAATGTATATTTTTAATTTTTAAAATAATACTGTATTTTATTGGAGATCAATTCTATACGTAATACTAAAAAATGAATGATTGAGTTACTAAAAATAAAGCCTTATTTTTTTTTATATATATAGTATGTATAAAATAATTTTAAACCACGCGTATAATTTATTATATATAATCCATCATAAATTAACAATATATATACATTAACTTGTGGACTATTTTATGATTATCAATCCTTTTAAGCTAAGCTTGTGTTAGGGATTGAGAGTATACCTTTTAAAAAAAAAGATTTAATAAAGATTTATTAAATTGAGTACATTAAAAATATTAATATATAATATATACAAACAAATAGATAAATAATAAAAACAAAACAAGTTGTTAACTATACACTATCCAATTTTTTTGAATTTTTACTTAACATATAATAATAATGAAATAATAATTACAAAATAAAAAAAAACAAACTCAAATTTAGACTAATTCTAAAAATAATCAGTTATATATAATATTTTATAATACTTTGTATAATACAAACAAAAATTAATTTCGCCCTTCTCCTCTATGACCTCAACTCAAATACGCCTTTGACGTTACTTCGTGAATGTTGCAAGCTTTGTCTCCCATGTTGGACAGATCAACGAACTGAGGGCTGATAAAGCGGTTCTCAATAAAGGGTAGGGCGGGCTCTTCAGCCTCGGATGGCAGCTCCGCCCTAGTAGAAGGAAAACCTTGATCAAAAAACCTTTGGCAGTAAGATTAAAATATAATGAAGGAAATCACTTGAAAAACCACAATAATATTGTGAGTTATAAGTCAAATATTGTTACCACTTCAGGGGCTTCGGAACCCTAGAGGTCGGCAGGAGTGGATGGTTCTGGTGTCAAAACCGGTTCCAACGTAGCGGGCTCACTTAGGTCGTCAGCCAGTGACCGCGAGGGTACGGGGGTGGTCGACCAGGCTCCTGTCACTCTATCCATTACTAGTACGAAGACGAAGTCAGGTTGGTCGAAGTATGGTGCGGCTACGAACAAAATACCATACACTACTTATGAAAAGTACACGCAACAGAATTGCGGGCCGCGACCTTGGCCACACCGACCTCTACGTCAGCGAGCGGAGGCGGGTGGATCCGCTACCATCTTAGTTAATCAGGTCCAGCAGACGTGGTCATCGCGTCCACCACCATCCAGGACGCGTATTCTCAGATGCACCGTCGGTAGATTTGACGGCTTTGCGAGGACCAAGATACAGGGGAAGAAGAAGTTAGTTAGACGCGAACGTCGGCGTGCAAACGGACGGGCCACCGATAACCGCGGAAGCGTGCACCAGGATGGAAGACCTGACACCGACCTAGAACGTTGGAACTTTGAAACACAAGCTGAGCACCAAATGGGATACGATGATGCGTGCCAAAACCGAAGACGACCACCCGGTTGGGCCCAAAAAGGCCACGGTCGTAATAGTCGGAGGAAATGCGGTGGAAGAAACCACGTCCACTTTTAGCTTTCTCAGTTATCTTTCCGCGTTGAAGACGCCTAGAGCCACGCAAGAACACCAGGACCCGTCCCCCAACGAAATCCGCCGCTTGGCGAATATCCGCAACGATTGATTGCCGACAAGTTCCACTTCTCGGTGTCCGCGTGCTTGGTTAATGCTGGTCGCGCACATCACCCGGAGGTGCACTTTCGGCACGGTCGTCGACCAGTTTTGCGGTGTCGGTCGCGTGGCCATTCGGCTGGCACGAATGTGCCGTCGTAGACGTAGACCCTGCGAAAATACGTTTTGGGCGTCGGAATGCCGCGGAGCACGGGGTCGCTCATCGGATAGATTTTCGGGTCGGCGATAGCTTCGTGCAGCTACCTGCAGAAATCTAGCGACAGTGACGAACCAGTCGACCCGGAAGTCTTGGAGGTGAAATTAGACCTGAAATCTATTACACCGCCGAGACCATACGCTTAGTTGCATCTTTCTATTAACGAGATCTGGTCAAGTAGATTCGATAAACTGTATTTTTTTCTGGATCGAAGATGTCCGGATCTTAAAAATTTATTTTTTATTCCAAACAATAATTTTTGTATAAATTAATATATATTTTTTTTTTGTAGAGATTTCAGCCAAATTGTTGTTTTTCCTCATGAACATTTTTTTTTATACCTTTTAAAAAATAAATAAATTAATAAATTAATAAATAAATAAATAAATAAATAAATAAATATAAATGATACTAGAGTGTGTTGTTGTTACAACAATAATTGAAAAAATAATACAATAATAGTAATAATAATGATAATGAATGACTATACTTGGGTCCTACAGCGGTACAACTAATAATTAATGGACTATAATCGAACTAACAAATTAGTAACTGTATGACGTTCAAATAAATTGATTATTTTCAGTAACAAACGGTACATTGAATACGATACATAAACGCAGTTTAAATCTTACTATTTTTCAAATAACCAATAAATTCGTTTTTTTTTTGTGCTTTTGTACAGTTACTATAGAAAAATGGTTAAATAAAAAGTCAATGACTCAAAGTTTTGCGAAAACTGAAGAAACAGAGATAATATCTGAGTCAGCGGTTAAAAAAAAAAAATTAATTGATGATGAGCTTACAGCAAGTTCTTCACAATCGAAGTAAAAAAGTGGATATCAATCCAGTTATAAAAAATAGGAAACAATTACATCCTTTACATTAAAATTATATACTTACTAATTAAATTACATATTATTAACTTTTTTTTATAAATATAATACTTTTTTTCAATTTAAAATAATGAAAACAACAAAAAAAAAAGTCAATGATATTATTTTGGGAACCTCTGCAATAGATTATCAAATGATTTAATGAACATTCTAAAGTAATTGAAAAATTTGTCATAGTGCTCTCTTAGTTTAGGATATAATGTAATAATAATCTAAGACTAAAAGAAAGCCTTGTTTTCAAAATAAGATGGACCCAATATTTCCTTTCCCTCATTTGTCTGCATCTTCTCATCCTTCGGTGGACGGCCAATAAACACACAGCATCTATCACATTGATTCTTGATGATAATTTTAACTATACTAAGTAGTATAATTTTCTACTAGAACATTCCCATACAACGCGCGTGACACGCAGCCATCTGAATGGTTATATGCGCGTTCTGTGGCGTGCTAACGCGCGTCCATGAACTAGTCTTATCGTTTCACATTAACCGATGTATTAAAAATATATTTCAAGCGCATACTATCAGAAGACGATAATTTCAAATTTTTAGAAGGGCGTCTGCTACTCATGTCATTGATTGTTTTAAAATCAATATAGCCTCGATTTTTTTTCTGTAACAGCATGAATTTTCTTTTTTACAACATCTATTAGTCCGCTTACGAGTTTTAATCGCTGATTCAACAATTTGCATACTATCATTTGGAGACATATTTATTATTAATAATTTTGATAAGTTATTTTTAATTAAAATTAAATTATTTTCATTGTTT